TTATCCTTCACCTTAGAAAGGGTATCTCGAAATGCCTCACACTAGATGCCTAGAAATTGTCCTATGTAGAAGGTGGTCCTGAATTTTAGTGAGATTTCCCACCTTCTGACAAGCAAGTATTCTACCAATGAGTCTAGAGTAGTCACTACTTCTTGCTCACAGGTCCAATTGATATAATGTCACCAATGTATTGGACCAGAGTGATCTCTTGTGGAACAGAAAGCTGATCAAAATCCTGTAAACTAAACTATGATGTAGGTTTGGAGAGTTTATATACCCATGAGGTAGGACAGTGAAGGTGTATTGCTGGTCTTGCTGGCTGAAAACAAACTTGTTTCAGGTGGTCTTTACTAAGGGGTATGAAGAAAAAAGCATTTGCCAGATCAATAGCTGCATACCAGGTACGAGGATATGTGTTAACTTGCTCAAGCAATAGAACTGCCTCTGGTTGGAGTCATCACCCAGTTAAGCTTATGATAATCTATTCTTTCTCCAAAATCGTATCTTCTGCAAAAGCCAGACAGGTGAGTTGAAGGGGGATGGAGTGGAAATTATTTCTGCATACTTTAAGACCTTGATGGTGGCACTAATTTCTGGCATCCTCCCAGGAATGCAATATTGATTTTGGTTTATCATTTTCCTAGGTAGAGGCAGTTCTAGTGGCTTCCACTTGAACTTTCCCACTATTATAGCCCTCACTCAAGTCAGAGAACCAATATGGTTGGTTCTCTGTGTCCGCTGCTGAGTGTATCTATTCCAATTATGCATTCCCGAACTGCATAGTGAAATAACCACAGGATGGTTTCAGGGATCCCTGGAGCCACTGTGAGACAGACTGGAGCTAAAACTCCATTGATCACCTGATCTCCATAAGCTCCTACTCCAATTGGAAGACCACAGTGACATTTTAGTTACCTGGAACTACTGTCAGCTTAGAGTCTGTGTCCAGTAATCTTCAAAAGGTTTGATTATCTTTTTCCCAATGTAGTTACTAGTAAAAGGCCATAGATCCTTCTGGGAAAGGCTGGGAGAAAGATTTAACAGTATATATCTTTGACAGTGCAGTGGGATCCTTCCTCAAGGGGACTTGGTCTCCCTTTCATTTGAGGGGTTCTGGGTCTGTAAACCAGTTCAAATCTGGGAATTGATAGAGGGGCCATAATTCTGGTTTTATTATTCAAATTAGATTTGTTCACTTAACCTAAAACTCTTCTGCTTATATAGATCAAGTTAGAATTTAATAGATTCCCCACGTATTTCACCTCGAGGAACTCCATGATCACCTAGCCAAACCATATCTCTGTGAGTCAGACTTGTTTTTTTGTTTTTTTTTGTTTGTTTGTTTGTTTGTTTTTGGAGACAGAGTCTTGCTCTGTCACCTAGGCTGGAGTGCAGTGGCACCATCTCAGCTCACTGAAGCCTCTGCCTCCTGGGTTCAAGCAATTCTCCTGCCTCAGCCTCCCAAGTAGCTGGGACTACAGATGCGCACCACCACACCAGGTTAATTTTTGTATTTTTGGTAGAGACAGGCTTTCACCATGTTGGCCAGGCTGATTTCAAACTCTTGGCCTCAAGTGATCTGCCTACCTCGGCTTCCCAAAGTGCTGGGATTACAGGTGTGAGCCACTGTGTCTGGCCTAGTCAGACAATTCTGATTGCTGCTTTAACTCTGCTGTCCATTACAGTAACCATTTGAACTACTTCCTCTATAGTGTACCAAGGCAGGACTGGCATTTCAACTTCATTTAGGGCAAATTTTGGTTCATGTTTCAACCAAGCAACCAACCAGCTAGCGCAGGATCTTTTTGATCCCCCATGCTGCAATATTAAATCCAAAATCTCTGCTTTGTGGGCCCCTATCAATAAACACTGCCTGATCCAACTTTATGTTCCTTCCACCATTATTACGTACCCTAATATCCATTTCCACACATATTCTCAAATGGGAAGAGTCATGTAGTTCTTTTTGAGTGTAGCACACCTCCTATATCTCACTTAGTACCTCACCTTTGGGGCCTGCTGGGACTTGGATCTAGTTACAGGTTTAGAAGGAAAGAGGGGCGGTCAGGGTGGGTCCTGAGGACAATCAGCAGAGTCCTGTAAGGCAATTATCTCAGAGGAAGACATTAGTTTCCTCAGGGAAAGCAGTTAATGTCAATTAGATATAATCAGATTGGGTAAATCAGTTATCTCTGCTTCTACTGGCAATGAAGACGCATCAGAATTTAGAGATTCAATACTACCAGCTTCATCAGGATCTTCCCATGAGTCATCATTCCAATTTTCATGATCCCATTCATTCCCAGTCAATATCCTCACTTTAGTAGCAAAGGTACCCTGCAAGGCTGGGAATTCAATTTGCATTGTAACTCAGGCACTTGCAAAATGAGATTCTGGGTTTGGTTTCAGAAATCTCAACTCTGCAGCTACAGAAGGTAAAGTTTCTTTCAAACCAGACAGACAAATGTTCAGGTCTAGTACTTAAGTTGAGAATTCAAATCCCTGAAGTCATCCTTTTCTTTCTCCAAGTTATCCAGTGCAATTAAGAGCAAGCAGCCAATCTTATTAGTTTGACAAAAAGGTTTGAAGGTATACATATATCTCTGTCAAAACATTAACTGAACATGCACTAAAGGAACAAAGACTTTGGCGATCATACGTGATAAAGAATAGTCTCTGCAAAATTAGTTTGGGCTGGGCACTGTGGCTCACACTTGTAATGCCAGCTCTTTAGGGGGCTGAGGTGGGTGGATCAGTTGAGGCCAGGAGTTCGACACCAGCCTGGCCAACATAGCGAAACCCCATTTCTACTAAAAACACAACAAATAGCCAGACATGGTGGTGCACACCTGTAATCTCAGCTACTCAGGGGACTAAGGCATGAGAATTGCCTGAATCCAGAGGCAGAGGATGCGGTTAGCCGAGATCACACCACTGCATTCTGGCCTGGGTGACACAGTGAGACACTGTCTTAAAAAAAAAGTTTGGAAATGTCTCAAATGGAATACTACAGTCTTCAACATAGCAATGAAACAAAAAACAGTAAGCTCTGGAGTAGAAGAATCTGATTACTGGAGTTACCTCATTATAATAGTCAATTTCAACAACAAAAATCACAAGGCATACAAAATAAAAGAAAGAAAACATGGCCCATTCAAAGTAACAAGAAAAAATGACAGACACCATCCCTGAGAAAGCCAAGACATTGGATTTCCTCAACAAAGACATTAAAACAACTGTATTAAATATACTCAAAGAGCTAAAGGAAAAGATGAACAAATAAATAAAGGAAATCAGAAAAACAATTATTAACAAAATCAGAATATCAACAGAGACAAAAATTACAAAGAAGAATAAAAATTCTGGAGTTGAAAAGAATAACTGAAATGAAAAATTCACTAGAGGAGCACAATAGATTTGGGCAGGAAGAAGAGAGAATCAGAAAACTGGAAGATAGGACACTGAAATTATCAAGTCTGGGAATAGAAAGAAAAAATAAAGGAAAGTAAATAACGCCTAACAGACCTATGGAAGACCATGAAGTCGACCAATAGATGCACTATGGAAGTCCCTATAAGGAGAGAGAAAAGGGAAGAAAAATTATCTAAATAATGGCCAAAAACAACCCAAATTTACCAAAAGACGTGAATCTACAAATCCAGTAAGCCCAGTAAGTCCCAAGTAAGATAAACTCAGAGACCCACACCAAGACACATTATAATGAAATTGTCAAGTCACTAAGATGGCTATTATAAAAAATATGAGCTGGGTGTGGTGACTCACACCTGTAACCCCAAGACTTTGAGAGGCTGAGATGGGAGGATTGTTTGAGCCCAGGAGATTGAGGCTGCAGTGAGCTATGATGGTACCACTGCACTCCAGCCTGGGCAACAGAGCAAGACCTTGTATCGAAAAACGAAACAAAACAAAAACAAAAATATAAAAAGTAAGTGTTGGTGAAGATGTGGAGAAAATGGTACCCTATTGTATTGCTGGTGGAAATGTAAAATAATGTAGCTGCTATGGAAAAGTTTGGTAGTTCCTCAAAAAGTTAAAGATAGAATTACCATAATTTCCAGCAACTGTATACATAACCACACATACCCATGTATACCCCTGTATACATACCCAAACGAATTGAAAGCAGGAACTCAATAGATACTTTTAAGCCAGTGTTCACAACAGCATTAGTCAAAATTCCTTAAAAGGAGGAAAGAACCCAAATGTCCATCAAAAGATAAGTGGATTAACAAAGTGTGGTAGCCTAGGTGTGGAGACTCATGCATGTAATTCCAGCACTTTGGGAGGCTGAGGCAAGTAGATCCTCTGAGACCAGCCTGGCCAACATGGTGAAACCCTGTCTCTACCAAAAATACAAAAATTATCCTGGCATGGTGGCATGCACCTATAGTCCCAGCTACTTGGGAAGCTGAGACACAAGAATCACTTATCACTTGAACCCAGGATGTAGACGCTGTAGTGAGCCAAGCCAAGATCGTACAGCCTGGATGACAGAGCAAGACTCTGTCTCAAAAAAAAAAAAAAAGTGTGGCATACATAAAGAATGAAATTTGGATACATGCTATAAACTGTGAAAACATTATGCTAAATGAAATAAGCCAGACATGTATTCCATTTATACGAGGTACCTAGAATAGGCATATTCATAGAGACAGAAAGTAGAATAGAAGTCACCAGGGACTTAGGGGCAGGGAAATGAGGAGTTAAGGTTCTTATTGGATACAGAGTTTCTGTTTGGGATGATGAAGTTCGGGAAACAAATAGTGGTGATGGTAGTATAACACTGTGAATGTGCTTAAGTCACTGAATTGTATGTTTAAACATAGGTAAAATGGTAAATTGTATGTTATGTATATTTCACTACAAGAAAAAGATAAAGAAAAAGGCATAATTTCCTCCCCGAATTCTCAAAGAACAGAAAATTTTTTTTCAAATTTGACTTTTTTATGAAAGTAAACGACAAAATTAATCTCATACAATCACTTAGAAATGTTTAGCTTTATTTCAGAATAACCTATAGGACCATATCCAAATAAAGGTCCTATCAGTACTTCTCAAGAGTTATCACTCAGTTTTGCTTCTAGAGACCCACCAGTCAAAGCAGTAAAACTAAATCTCCTTAACAAAACTGAAGTCATCAGAAAATCAGTGCTAAAGGGGTGATGAAACTTTACTTAATCACTCCCTGTATGCAAGAAGACTTATTGCATTCCTAAAACTTCTACTGTGATTCCCAATATATCTGTTTTTTTTTTTTTTCTTTTTTTCAAAAGCATCATTTTGGTGAAAATTCCAATATATGAGTTTAAAAAAAAAAATCATTATCATCATAACAGTACTTTAAATCAATTATTCCTTTTGCCTGCAACAGGGTCCAGCAAAGCCTTACCACCTCAAGCAAAATCCACTACACCTATCTATGCTCAAGAAGTAGTTTGGCTACTGAAGACATGCTGGTCTCTTCCAAGCCTTTCCTCAGGATCCACACATCAGACATTCATCTCTATTCTCCAAAGAGCACACCATGGCTGCTGTGTTCCTCTCCTTCTCTTCTTCCTCCTTTGATACCTTTTCCTTATCTTTTAGCTTCTCCTTATTTAGAGTGAACTGGATTGGATTAGCCGCTGGTCTTGTCCTTAAATAATACATCCCAGTCTTCAAACCCTATAAGGAAAGTAAAGACAATGATTAGGAGAAACTCTGTGAGAATACTAGACATTCCTGGCTGGGCGCTGTGGCTCACGCCTGTAATCCCAGCACTTTGGGAGGCCAATGTGGGTGGATCACTTGAGGTCAGGAGTTTGAGACCAGCTTGGCCAATATGGTGAAACCCCGTCTCTACTAAAAATAAAAAATTACCCAAGAGGGGTATTGCATGCCTGTAAATTTCAGCTACTTAGGAGGCTGAGGTTGCAGTGAGCCAAGATTGTACCACTGTACTCCAGCCTGGGCAACACAGCAAGACTCTGTCTAAAAAAATATAAAATAAAATAAAATAATAATATTAAAATAAAATAAAATGCATTCCTGGCCAGGCGCAGTGACTAACACCTGTAATCCTAGCACTTTGGGAGGCCGAGGCAGGTGAATTGCTTGAGACCAGCCTGGCCAATATGGCAAAACCCCATCTCTATTAAAAATACAAAAATTAGCCGGGCGTGGTAGCACACGCCTGTGATCCCAGCTACTCAGGAGGCTAAGACACGAGAATCGCTTGAACCCAGGACAGAGGTTGCAGTGAGCCGAGATCACGCCACTGTACGCCAGCCTGGGCAACAGAGTGAGTCTCTGTCTCAAAATACATACATACATACATACATACTTACAGACAGACAGACATAAAATAAAACACATTCCCATGAACCAGATGAAACTTTTTTTAAACTTGGAATTCTATCTCCTCTAGGAGTACTCTCAAAAATGCTTTGCAAGTCAGATAGAAATACCCTGTTCTTTTCACCCCTAAAACAGGCTTATCTCTTTGGAAAGGTCAAACATTTTTATTCTTTTGTCTTTGTTTTTATGTATATGACTTCCAAGTTTGCCCAAGACAACATGTCTGCCTTAGGTTATAACTATTTAGAGAGCTAGACTGTGTCTCTGTATAACAACAGACTAAAAGACTTCAAAGATAAAGATCATCATCTTCTATTCAGTATCCTCAGTGCTGGCACCTACTGGATGTTCAATAGATGTTAAATTAAAAAACAAATTTATAATTCTACTTAAATACCCAATACATTATCAGGGAATAAGAACATAATCTAAAATTACCGACTTTACAGCTGGCAATGACTAGGCTAAGTAATCTGGCTTTCACTTTATAAGTGAGAAAACAATGGATGTTTTCGAACAGTGGGTTGAGGTGTGCAAAGTTTTATTTGAGGAATGGTGGTAATGCACACAAAATGGCTGGGAGCAGAGATATTAGAAGGAATAAGGTCAGTTTAGAATAACAGCAGCAGAAAAGGAAGGAAGATATTTAAGAAATAATACAAAGGAACAGTCAACATAACTTGGTAATTATACAGAGAGTAAAGGAAGGAAAGGATCACAGGTAACTCCAAGTTTTCAAACCTAAGAAGGAAATAAACCTAACAGAAACAAGAAAATCCAAGGCAAGACCTTGATCTGGTACAAAAACCATCGGTTGGTTTTAATATTCTGGATTTGAACTTAAAGAACTTCTAGGTGATAATATTTAATGGGTGGCTAGAACATAAAATCATTCCAATGCCAAAATATCTCAAGCTGGCAATTAAGTCCTCCTTGATATTCTCTACCAACCTGCTTCCAGCCGTAGAAGTGCATACTAGTGAGTTTGCCATAGTTAGGCTCAGCAATGTGGATATTCAAAGATTGGCTTTGATCAATGAAAGCACCTCTCTCAGCTGCCATCTTGAGAACGGTTTTCTGAGAGATTTCCCACACAGTTTTATAAAGTTGCTTCAGATCATCAGGAATTTCTGGTATGCTCTAAAGAAGGAAAACCAAATGTTTACTTTACTCCAGTTAAAGAAAGCAGTGTGTAATTAATAGAATAGTGACACAAGGTTTGACCCTGGTTTTACTTCCTTCCAGATCTGACCTTACTATTCAGTATCATATGATATGATCCTTATCAAGTTTACCAAGACTATTTAGGAAGTTGAACAAAACCCCATCTAACCAACCAAATATCAATCTGGTGACAGTAATTTCAGCATCCCTTTTCTGTTGGTTTTTGATTTCCAATATATGTTTTTGAGAATTAAAAATTGGTTTATGACCCAAACATTCATTCTTCTAGAGGCACTTAAAGAAAGGAAAAGTCAGAGCTAAGCAGCAATAAATGACCCTTGAGTTTTGCAGAAAACACAAAAACCAAGGGCTGTAATTCACAGGGATCAAGGTAAGCAATGAGATAAAACCCTTTAAATAAGCTAGGATTCCAAACTCCCTTTGGAATCCAAATAAATCAGGTTTTCTTAGGTCTAGGGTTAACTTTCATTAAAACACACAGACTAGCTAATGCTAATTTCTGTCATCAAATATGGAACTGTTATAGGACTCATCATCTGTGTTGCTAAGCAGACCAACATTTAGCCAGACACCTCTATCTGCAAATAAATGCCTCTTGACTCTTAGTTGCAAATATTTACACTATTTGTGACTCTGTCTTTTGGACTATCAGTCCTCAACCATGATTTTTAATTAAGCTTGACTCTCTTAATTTCAGTCTATCGATGATCCCCCAAATTTTGATGTACTTTGGAATCACCAAAAGAATCTTTAAAAAGTATTAATGTCTGAGACCAGGCACGGTGGCTCATGCATGTAATCCTAGCACTCTGGGAGGCCAAGGCAGGCGGATCACCTGAGGTCAGGAGCCTAGCCAACATGGTGAAACCCCGTCTCTACTAAAAATATAAAAATCAGCCGGGCATGGTGGCAGGCACCTGTAATCCCAGCTACTTGGGAGGCTGAGGCAGGAGAATCATTTGAACCCAGGAAGCAGAGGTTGTAGTGAGCCATGATCCCACCACTGCACTCCAGCCTGGGCAACAGAGACTTTGTCTCAAAAAAAAAAAAAAAAATTGATGTCTGGCTCCTGCTCCTAAACATTTAATTGGTAAAGAATGCAACCTAAGCTTCAGAATTTTAAAAGTTCCCCAATTGATTCTAAGATGCAGAAAAATTGAGTACTACTATTTTATATTATTGCATAAAAACAAGATGGTAAGGGCTATGTAAAGATGTGTACAATCCTAGCACAACAATGAAGAGGTGAACACAGCTACATAAGCAAAGCCTAGATGAACACAATGAAGTTATTTTCTCCATTGTCTGGCATGAGTGAGGAGGTACCACAATGTCCAACTCAGCCCCTGCAGAGCACATTTCATTTTCATTCTATACCTGAATAGAGCCATTGCATGCAATAATCTGGTTTTTCATCTCTTCATGCCATAGGCCCCGCTCAGTAAGATCTTTCAGTAAGTGAGGATTTACAATCTGAATGGAAAAGCAGAAAATATATGAAGAAATAACAGTGACAGCTTAGAAAAGACTACAGCTTTGAAGCTTAAACTAAAATCACCTAAGAATTATTTAATGCTAGATTGCTTGGTAAATTCTATTTTTATAAAAATGAGACATCAATGCCACCACACAAAAGCTACATTCCTTTAAGATCTTGACATCTGTTATTCAAGAAACAATATAATTAGCCAGGCATGGTGGCGCAGCACGCCTGTAATCCCAGCTACTTGGGAGGCTGAGGCATGGGAATTGCTTGAACCCGGGAGGCAGAGGTTGCAGTGAGCCAAGATCACACCACTGCACTCCAGCCTGGGTGACAAAGTGAGACACTTTCTCAAAAACAACATCAACAACAACAAAAACATTGTGGTGTGGTAATCATTATATAATATATACACATATCAAATCATTATACTGTATACCTTGGATTTATACACAATTTTTATTGTCAATTATACCTTAATAAAGCCGAAAAAATATTTTAGTTAAAAAAGAAACATACAGCATTTGAAAAGTGAAAAGAATAGCGTCTAAGATGGGTAAATCTATAAATACTTAGGTTAAAAAAATTAGAAACGTATCCTTCTCAAACTTTACAGAACTTTATTTCAAGATATCTGGAAATTCACAAATAGTCTTTTAAATTGAGGTTCTCAAATCCTAGCTACACATAAGAATTACCTGGGAACCTTAAAAACAAAGAAACAAAAAACCACTGGTCTCACCCACCATAAATTCTAATTGGTAACCAAGTCTGAAAACCACTGCCTTAAATGATACTTCTTTACATATTTTGAGTATCCTAACTTAAGCATCTGGGGGAAGTTATAGAATACATCACTATGATTATATAATGATTAAACATTATGTTAACTCTACTATCAACAATTTACTTTCATACTTGACCCTCAGTAATTCATTTTTTCAACAGATTATTTATTAAATGCCTATTGTGCTGAAATATTAATAACAAATAATAATATTGGAGATGAAGATGACTCTCTTTATCAAAGCTTTGCACCCAAACTAAGAAAATGGGCAAATTAAACACGAGTGAGCATTTACTCCCAACATCAGGCTTTCAAAAAGTCTCCCTGTAGGGCTGGTTGTGAACTGCTCACCTGAAATTCTCCTGACAAGACTCTGCGAGTATAGATGTTGCTGGTGTAAGGTTCAATGGACTCATTATTCCCCAGGATCTGAGCAGTGGAAGCTGTAGGCATCGGGGCAATAAGTAAACTGTTTCTTATACCATACCTACAGAAAAGGAGATTATCAGCTACTAGTCCCAAAGCTACAATCTGCCAGGAAAGTAGTTACTTTAAGTCACTGTAGTAAATATAGATAAATGTAGTAAATGTAAATGTAACATCATACATGCATTGAACTCACATGTTGACTTTCAAATTAAACTACTACAGGCAGGCAATTCCACAGTATGGGTGCTATTATAGCTCCCTCTCCTCTTAAATGTCTGATTCCTAAACTGAATTAGTATAATTTTTATTGTTGGCAATCCTTATCATGCCATGATTTATGCCACTTGGACTGTGGCACTCAGGAATCATAACACTTGATACACTATCTTGCCTAGGGAAACATTCAAAGTGCTGTTGAAGTGCTCCCCACCTGTATTAGGGTATGCTCATCCAACCCTCATTCTTTTCTAAGTGCCTATAATATCACTGTGCTAGGCCCCTTCTGGAAAAATAATAATGAGAAAGTGGTCAGAATCAGACAAATATCACCGTAATTCTCCATTATCCTGTAAACAGGAAGAAATTATGCTCAAAGTATATTCTTCAATTATAAGTTCCTGGAAGAAGGTTAACATCTTTTGACAAATCAATGCCCAAGAGTACTTAAGAGAGAATATACTATCTGACACACTGAGAAATCTCCCAACTGCCCCTAGCTCACCTTCAAAGCTCAGCCTAACTGATACCAATTTTAAAACATCTTTCCTGATCAGGAAGGCACAAATACAAATGTCAAATACAAATATCTGCTCTGCAAACATTTTCTCTGACTTGTACCTTTCCATACACCTTAACTACTTGTCTTCTTAGTCTCAAGTTTTTAAAACACAAAGAGCCTGTATTTCCTACATTCTATACCTATGGATTCATAAGACGCTTAGCATACAGCCTCATATCCTGATGGAGTCTGTACAACTGGATATAGTTTGGCTGTGTCCCCACCCAAATCTCATCTTGAATTGTAGTTCCCATAATCCCCACGTGTTATGGGAGGGACCTGGTGGGAGGTAATTTAATCACGGAGGAGGTTACCCTCATGCTGTTCTCATGATAGTGAGTTCTCACAAGATCTGGTTTTATAGGGGGCTTTTCTCCCTTTATTCAGTACTTCACTTGCCGCCATATTAAAGAAGGACCTGTTTGCCTTCCCTTCTGCTATGATTGTAAGTTTCCTGAGGCCTCCCCAACCCTGCAGAACTGTGAGTCAATTAAACCTCTTTCCTTTATAAATTACCCAGTCTCAGGCAGTTCTTTATAACAGTGTGAGAACTGACTAATACAACTGGGTTCTCTACTTTTTAGTTTTTATTATCTTTTCATTTACTTTTTTTGGGGGGTGTTTCTCCACCTTACTCTGTCACTTTGTAGTGAGGTATCAAGCAAACCACCAACTATCTTCATGTCTTTACTGCCTCATCTGTAAAATAGCAACACTATCTGTCTACAGACAGGAAACTGTTGTGAAAAGTCATACATATATGATATATTCAAACTATGGAATTGTCTGTAATAATTAAAAACATTAGGTAGATCTACATGTACTAAAAGAGAAAGAGCTCCAAAATAAATCACTAAATAACAAGTCTCAAAATACATCAAGTCTTTTTTTTTGAGACAGAGTCTCAGTCACCTAGGCTGGACTACAGTGCACAATGTCGGCTCCCTGTAATCTCCACCTCCTAGGTTCAAGTGATTCTCATGCCTCAGCCTCCCGAGTAGCTGGGATTACAGGCACGCGCCACCATGCCCAGCTAATTTTTGTATTTTTAGTAGAGACGAAGTTTCGCCATGTTGCCCAAGCTGGTCTTGAACTTCTGATCTCAAGTGATCCGACCACCTCAGCCTCTCAAAGTGCTGGGATTACAGATGTGAGCCACGGTGCCCAGCCCAGAATACAAGTTTCATCACATTTATGTGACAAAACCGTGTGTGTGTACCTATCCGCAAATGTACTGAAAAAGATCTAGAAAAATACACTCCATTAACAAGGCTTATCTCTGAGAAAAAGAATAAGTTACTTTTTTGGTTTGTTTTCTGAGACAAATGGTTGGCAGAAGTATGAAGAAGGGCTTTTACTCTCGATTTTATTTCTGCATTTGAGCTTTATTAATAATAAATTTGTGTTCATATACTAATTTTGAAATTAGAAAAAAAAAGTCATGTAAATAAAAACCTAGGCCATAGTATTTTGAGGGGGGAAAAAAAATATATATATATATATAAATATAAATATAGTACAGGTCCATTTTCTTAAAAGTTGAATTTCCCATGTAAATACACTCTTGGAAGTGTGTGTGTACTCTTGGAAGAAAACCGAAAGGATGATAAGATGCACACAGGGTTTCTGGGGGAGGCAGTATTAGTATAATTTTCATTTTCTCTTTCCAAATCTATGTTTTCCTAAATTTTCTAACATGTATTATTTGACTAGGAAAACAATTTTAATTTAACAATTTTAAGGCAAACAGTTATTTTTTTTAAAGAGCATTTTAAAGCTACTGCTTCATTCTCCAAATATTAATCACTTTGCATATGCATTAACCCATAAATGACAAAGTCATCACGATAGAAAACAAAAACAATTTGCTTTGTTATTCACTCTGCAAAACATTCTGCCTGCCTTCGAATCCATTATGCTTATTAATTTGAAAGGTCTACAAAAACTCAATTTTAAAACTTTTCTTTCCTATAGTTAAAACACATTACCCTCCAAAAACTCTTCCAAAATCCCTTATTCCTATGACAAAATCCCTTATTCCTATGACAATCAATTCAAACAAAAGCCATGTATATGGCCGATGTAACTAAATTGGGAAATAAATAAGAATCAAAAACATTTAAAAAAAAAAAAAAAGCATAGTTGGAAAAAAGCCTTAATGAGAAAGAAAATTACCTAATCTAGGTGTGTTAAGTTCCTAAAATAAGATCAACTAATAATAGCAATTCCTACCATGTACTGAAATGCTTTCATTGTGCCAAGCAACTTGCAGGTTGCTATATATAGATTATCTTACAAAGTTTTTTCCCAAATAGTTTTGTGAGATAGGCCATTTTAGCCCCATTTGTAATAAATGAGTTTAAGAAGTTAAAATGACATATCTAACTTCTGAAGATCCAGAAGGTGAACCTAAACCCTTCTGCCTTCAAAGCTACTTTACATCTCTTCACTTACTTTGCAATGTTCTCCTTGAGAAGGTTCCAGTCCCATAGGTCTGTAGGAGTAACATTCCACATATCATACTGAAGAATCTAAGGAATACACAACCCAAATTTATTCTACAGCAAGTTAAAACTATGAAAAAAAAAAAAGACTAGCTGCCATGTCACCACATCCCAACAAATGCTGTCTTCTAATCGACCTCTATGAGGAATACAAGCTCCAGAGATTTTCCTGTACAAAATTCCATGTAGTCATATTGATCAGAAGCAGGCTACGAAAACTGATTATCCCACATCATATCTACAAACCAGAAAACCCTAAAATTCATAAAAGCATGTGGCTGATACATTCTGTTTTTTTACAGTAAAAATGTTACTTTAACCTTGTTTTTCTTCAGTGCCTTCATCTGTCCCTTGATCTGTTTACTTAGCTAAAAACACCTATTTTCCTCTAATACCAGCAGGAATGTCAGAAATAAAATTAACATTTTATATAGAAAAGAATCATAGTATTGATAATAAAGGCAGTGAAGGCAGAATTCTAACACAGCTCCTCAGATTCCCACACCTTGGTGCACAGGCTATTTATAATCTCCACTTGAGTATGGACATGACTTGAGAATAGGATGGATGTCACTCCAGTGATTATGGCAAAGGTGAAAGGTTTCTGCAGATGTAATTAAGGTTGCAAATCAGCTGATTCTGAGTTAAATAAAAGGAAGATTATGCCAGGAGCAGTGACTCATACCTGTAATCCCAGCATTCTGGGAGGCCAAGGCAGGTAGATCACTTGAGGTCAAGAGTTCAAGACCAGCCTGGCCAACATGGCAAAACACCGTCTCTACTAAAAATACAAAAATTAGCCAGGCGTGGTGCCATACGCCTGTAATCCCAGCTACTCGGGAGACTTGAGACAGCAGAATCGCTTCAACCTGGGAAGCAGAGGTTGCAGTGATCTGAGATCACAGCACGCACTCCATCCTGGGTAACAAAGTGAAACTCTGTCTCAAAAAAAAAAAAGCGGGGAGGTGGTGGAGGGGTGGCGGGGAGATTATCCTATGTGAACCTGATTTATTAGGCGAAACACTCAAAAGAGACTAGAGTATGCCCCTTTTGAAATGAGAGATGGTCTCTCCCACTGGCCTTAAAGAAGCAAGATGCCATGAATCCTTGAAATATATTTTGCCAACAACGAGGTGAGCTTGGAAGAGAACTCTGTGTCTCAGATGAGACCAGAGCCCTTACCAACATCTTGAACACAGACCCAGAAAAGAAGGCCCAGCTAAGCTAAGTCTGGACTCCTGACGTCTGGAAACTGTGAAATAACGAATGCATGTTTTAATCCACAGAAAATAAACACTGGCAGCATCCCTCTTATATTATTTTAGCAATGACTAGTTCTTAATAAGAGATTAAAACAGAGTATCCTTTTTACTCCAGAGGACAAAGGTACTGAAGTTTCCTATGGCTGGTGCAACAAATTACTAAAAACTTGATAACTTAAAATAACAAAAATGTATTCTCTCATAGTTCTGAAGACCAGAAGCCCAAAATCAACATGTTGGGAGGGCCACACTCCCTCCAGAGGCACTAGAAGAGATTCTGTTCCTTGCCTCTTATAACTTCTAGTGGCTATCAGCATTCCAAGGCTTGTGGTTGTAACACGCCAATTTCTGCCTCCATAGTCATGTTGCTTCCCCTTCTGTGTCTCTTGCAGGACAACTGTCATTAGATTTAGGGCCCACCTGGATAATCCAGGTAAATCTCCTTATCTCAAGGTTCTTCATTACATCTGCAAAAACCCTTTTTTGAACCAAATAAAATGAAATTCACAGGTTCTAGGAATTAGGAGGTGGACATATCCTTTTGTGGGGTCACCATTCAGCCCACTACAGGTACTCACAGGCAAAAACAATTTCATCCATATACTTACTCCTTTGCTAACTGGAGAGCCCTCATAGGTTTCGTATGGGCCCTGCTCCTTGGCAAGGTCACAGCTGGCTTCCAGGGCGCCATAATAAATAGTTTCAAAGATCTGCTTATTTAGTAATTGGGCTTCTGCACTCTCAAAAGGGTATCTCATCAGGATAAAAGCATCTGCCAGACCTTGTACCCCAATTCCAATGGGACGATGACGTTTATTTGATAGGCATGCCTTTGTGTCAACAGATTTTAAAGAAAAGGAGAAAATATTACTGAACAGGAAAATCAACATTCTGTACTAAATGAGACAGACTACCTCTTTTTCTCAAACCACTTTACTGACAACCATTTAAATAATGACTTGAAGATCATGATTGATTCCTTTCAATTTGGATTTCAATAATTACCAATAAGCAGAGAAATATATTCATACCTCTGGTACAGGATAGTAGTTTATATCAATAATTTTATTCAAGTTTCGGACAACGACTTTAGTGACTTCAGCCAACTTCTTAAAGTCATATGTGTGTTCTGATGTGACATACATATTCAGGGCCAGGGAAGCCAAATTACAAACAGCAACCTGGAATGCAAAAAACAGGTCAAGAATCACACAATTTTTATTTCTACTTCCTATGCCAACTACACCACCATGTGAGCCTCTAATACTCTCAAGACAATAAAATGTTAAATTTTTATATTTGACTTCTCCCTCTTCATCATTCATTAGTCCATTTCTAAATCCCACTGATTCTATTTCTTCAATACCTAGTCATATGTGTTAGTGATAACATGCATCAGCAAAATAAGATAGAGAGAGAATCCTGTGTTCCACAGTACACAGCTCTATTACCAGACATATGTCACACTATGTTATAATTAGCTTTTTACATATACCTATCTCATTATTCAGTAGATAAGTGCCCCTACAATATGGTAGCCACTGGCTACATGTATCTATTTAAAATGAAATAAAATTTGAGTTTCTCAGTTGCACTAGTCATATTTCAAGTGCTTAATAGCCATCAGATACAAAACAATTCCATCACTGCAGAAAGTTCTTCAAAACACACATGTCCACCTCACCTTCACTGATATTCTGATAAGTCCTTAGCAACAAAGGATTCCAATTTGTGATTTCTGAAAAAGCTCTTCCACTACACTACTGTAGTGTTCCTCCACTACACTAGGCAGTGAGCTTCACACAAGGATCATTTTATTTATATCTTTAGCACTAGCAACACATCTGGCACACAGTAAGTCTTGATAATGCTGAATGAATACACTTTCTTTTCCATTTTGGTTATGACTATCCCAAGCCAAAGTCTTAACTTCTCTCACCTGGACTACTGAAAGTTTCCCAATTGAACTCTTGATGCCCTTCACATCTACTCCATTCTACACATGTTGCCAAATACCCATTTTTAAAATACAGCTTGAATCACAAAAGTCTAATAAATACCAGGGAGAAAAATAGGCAGGAAAAGAAGACAGAGAGTACTTGGGATAAAGATGAAGGGGGTGTAATTTTTAAACAGTTGTTAAGAAAGACCTCACTGAAAACGTTGTATATGAACAAAGAACTGAACAGGTTAGAAAGCAAACCATGTGGCTATGGGAAGAGGGGGTGCATTTTAACATCCAAGAGGGAAGAAAGAGCAAAAATTCTGAGGCAGGCGCACGCTTGACATGTTTGAGAAAAAGCAAAAAAATCAATAAGGTTGGAGCAGAGTGAACAAAGGAGAAAGTAACCGCAGATGAGGTGGGTTATCCAGTTGTGTAGGACCTTGTAGGGCATTCTAAGAACTCTGGATGGAAAGGAATGAAGTACTGATACATGCTACAACACGAATAAAAGAATATGTTCAGCGAAAGAAGCCTGACACAAAAGGCCACATACTATATGATTCCATTCCTATGGAATGTCCACAAATCTAGAGACAGAAAATATATTAGTGGTTGTCAAGGGCTGAGGGAAGAAGGGAACAGGGAGTGACTGCTAATGGGTAAAGTGTTTCATTATCTAGAGTGATAAAAATGTACTACAGGCTGGTCACGGTGGCTCATGCCTGTAATCCCAACACTTTGGGAGGCCGAGGGGGGTGGATCACGAAGTCAAGAGATTGAGACCATCCTGGCCAACACGGTGAAACCTCGTCCCTACTAAAAATACAAAAATTAGCTGGGCGTAGTGGCGCGCGCCTGTAGTCCCAGCTACTTGGGAGGCTGAGACAGGAGAATTGCTTGAACCCAGGAGGTGGAAATTGCAGTGAGCCGAGATCGAGCCACTACACTCCAGCCTGGTGACAGAGACTGTCTCAAAAAAAAAAAAAAACTACAATTAGATAGTGGTAATGGTTGCACAGACTTGCAGATACACCCAAAAAATAAACACACACACACACACACGCACACACACAAAACAACATGAATTGTACATTTTAAAAAGAATGAATTATAGCTCAATTTACAAAAAGAAAGAATTCTGTTGACGTTGCAATGAGCCACACTCCAGCCTGGGCAACAGAGTGAAATCTTGACTCCCTCAAAAAAAGGAATTCTGCGTAGGTTAGCAAGCCAAAGAGTAGTTTTGTGCAGACAAATGACATTATCTGATTTTTATTTTTAAAATGTCAGTCTAGCCTCTATAATATAATCCATCTTGCATAATAGTTACTTCAATATATGTCGATTTCTTCTAACTAAATTAGAAGTTTCCAGAGGACAGCATATTTATTTATATTCTCACAGTACTTAACACAGTGTTTTTTATATAGCTGGTGCACAATAAATTACCTTAGCAGTATATTTAACTCAATTTCCATTTACTTCCTGACTTTTCATTTGTCTTTTTTTTTTAAGGTCCTAGAATTGAGGATCTACTCCTTCCTCATTTCCATAGTTTACACCCAATATCAAAGCAGCCTGTCATCCTATTACTGCAACCATCTCCCTAGGCTAACCTCTAACCTCTTCTCACAGCAAGACACACTGTAACCAGACACAAGAACCATCGTTTTCATCTTAACATTTTGATACTATTTTCCTGTCAGAAACCTACAAGGGCTTCTTATCTCTGGGACATGTCAGTTTCTACCTTCTATCTCCCTTCTCCCAGCCATAGCCATTTCTCCATATTCCAATAATTAATCTACTTGCACCATCAAAACAGACTTACTTGCCACACTGAACAAAACCCAGCCCTGTCTCTGGCATATCATACAGACCACTCTTTCCAAATGGAAAGCTCCTCTCTAAAACTTTTTTTTAAAACATCAAATCCATGTCCCATTTCTAGCCTTGATTCTTCTGTGAAGTCTCTTTACAGGCTTTGAGATTAGAATTGGATCTCACCATTCACTGAAAGGACTCTCTTTATAAGCTTACATACTTTTTTTGTTGCTGTTTTTGGTTTTTGTTTTTCTTTTTGTTTGTTTTGAGACAGGGTCTCACTTTGTCACCCAGGATGGAGTACAGTGGCACAATCTCAGCCCACTGCAGCCTCCACTTTCCAGGCTCAAGGCTTACGTACTTTAAACTGAATGTACATCCTAACACATTTTTGTGTGTGTCCTAAACCAACATAACTGTATATTTCTATTTTTCTTGAGTAAATGTCATTACAATGATGTGTGTATAAGAAAAAACTGTGTCTTTCCCACACGGCTTAGACTAAAAAACATTTATAGGCACAGATCATACCCTTTCCTTCCTTTGCTCTCTGCCTTTAACAGTATTCTTCTGCTTACCACTATGCAAACTCCCTTCACTTACCTCAAGTGAGGAATTCACAAATTCCTAAGGTTCTTTTCTTAGTACTCTAGAAAAGTACTCTTAGTACTCTAGGAAATGCCTAGGGTTCTTTTCTTAGTACTCTAGGAAGAATTTTTTCCACCTACCTCATCTTTGCTGGTGTACTCCACTATTTCTGTGCACAGGTTGCTGCATTTGATGGTTCCCAGGTTCTGCTGGTTGCTCTTTCGATTACAAGAATCTTTGTAGAGCATATACGGGGTGCCTGTTTCTGTTTGAGACTCAATGATGGCATACCAAAGCTGCTGAGCTTTTACAACTTTGCGGACACGACCTTGTTTCTCATAACTGAAAGGCACAGATATTATTTAATATATATTCTCTATATTTATTGTATATTTATTTACAATGTCTACGATATATATTTATTGTAGACAACTTGAAGACATTAAAATATAAAGTTATGAAAGCTCTTAAATTTTTTCTAAGTTTTGCTAAAGCAAAAAAGGAATATGATACTTATTTTACTCTGGCTAAAGCCATAGAGGAAAATGAGGCTGTTTTAGGCTCCTTCAAATGATCCCAATCCCACTAAACCAATAATATCTTTCATAATAAAAAGGAGTAAAAACTAAGGAAACCAAATCTCTTAATATTGTGCTAATTTTTTTTTCTTTTTTGAGACAGAGTTTCGCTCTGTCGCCCAGGCTGGCTTGCAGTGGTACTATCTCAGCTCACTGCAACCTCCACCTCCGAGGTTCAAGCGATTCTCCTACCTCAGCCTCCCAAGTAGCTGGGACTACAGGTGTGCACCAGCACGCCCAGCTAATTTTTGTATTTTTACTAGAGATGGGGTTTCACCATGTTGGCCAGGCTGGTCTTGAACTCCTGACCTCAAATGATCCACCTGCCTCATCCTCCCAAAGTACTGAGATTACAGATATGAGCCACTGCACCTGGCCTATTTAATTTTAATAAACTATTGACATATGTATCCTAGTCACTCATGATTCCTTTATGCAATATAAAGCATAGCTTATCAAAAGTACTATATGACAGAGCAAAATAATAACCCTGCTAGTCATCTTAATTTTTATAAGGATCAATTAAAAATCCCAAGAACCTATTTATACATTCCAAAGTTTTAAGAAAGAAGAAGACGCAACTCAATTTTGGTGAAGAGTTAGGAAGCAAATATGACCAAAATTATTAGTCACTTTTTCTCTTAGATGCTTCAAAAGATTCTTGACAAGTACTTTTGATATTTGGACCCCCAAAATAAGAGAAACCATGATTAAAACATTATTGTTTTCTTTTATATTTTTCCCATACCTTTCATATAGTTTCTCAAATTCTTCTCCCCAAACCTCATCCAGACCAGGACACTCATTTGGACACATCAAAGACCAGTCCTATAAAGGAAAGGACAAAATCACTCATAAGAAACATAAAATAGCCAAGCATAATCCATTAGAAACACTGCAAGCATAAGGTGACTTTTACAAGTTCTCTTGGAAATTTGCTGTAGAAATAATCATTTTCAGGTTCAGGCCCAAACATCTAGGTCTGCCTGTTTATACATGACCTTTCAAGCATTTAGGTCACAAAGCATCTACTTTAGAGAACAGAAATATAAGACAAGCACAGCATCTCTTAACTTGTTCAGAATGCCTTCTGTGGCATCACACATAGATGGGCTCTTCCTAAGCATGACTTAAGAAGACTAAAAAAGAGAAAGCTCATGTGAATCAAGTTGCCATTACCAACAAGTACCTATCTCTCACCTGATTAGTCTCTACTCGTTTCATGAAGAGATCCGGAATCCAAAGAGCAAAGAAAAGATCTCTGGCACGCTGCTCTTCCTTTCCTGTGTTCTTCTTTAAATCAAGGAATTCAAAGATGTCTAAATGCCAAGGCTCCAGGTAAATAGCAAATGCCCCAGGACGCTAGTGGTAAATAAATCATAATTCTCTTCAGAATAAAAATGAAACAAAGAAACATCATGTCTCCCAAAGCACTTTTATAGTATCTCCTTTGATCTTCACTACAATGAATTAAATAACATAAAAGTATTATAAAAGTGTACAATTTTACAATTGTAAAAGTAATATTTTACAATTCTATGAGTAAAAACGAATGAATGATATAAACAAAATGTGAAACAAGAAAGGTTAACTTTTCTAAAGTGACATGATGAACTACAAATGGAGCCTCCTCTTCAGCAATAGCCCAGCTCTCTTTACACAACATGACATGTACATAAAGCCCAAAGGAAGTTGCTTTTACAAAATAAGCCGTGCTCTTATTGAAGGTCAAAAAGTTGATCTGTCTTATCAAGGTCCCCAAAGTCCATCAGAGAGAAATTCATAAACTAACAGGTGATTAGTGTGCCTACAGTCACAAAAGGCAGACTCTAGTTGCAAACCATCCTATTGATAAAACCAGGTAAACAACCCAATTCTTTCAACTTTACTGTTTCTTCTAGAATTAGGGAGAGTTTTTGTTTGTTTGTTCTGTTTTGTTTGAGACAAGGTCTAGCTCTATTGTCCAGGCTGGAGTACAGTGGTATAATCTCGGCTCACTGCAACCTCCTGCCTACCGGGCTCTAGCCATCCTCCCACGTCAGCCTCCCAAGTAGCTGAAACTACACCATACCTGGTTAATTTTTGTATTTTTTGTGGAGATGGGGTTGCATCAGGGTGGTCTTGAACTCATGAGCTTAAGCGATCAGCCCACCTCAGCCTCCCAAAGTGCTGGAATTACTGGCAGGAGCCACCACACCCAGCCAATTAGGGAGAGTTTTGTTATTCCAGTTTGTTTTTGTTTTTGTTTTAAGAACAACCAAGGCCAGGTGCAGTGGCTAACACCCGTAATCCCAACACTTTGGGAGGCCAAGGCAGGTAGATTGCTTGGGTCTAGGAGTTTGAGATCAGCCTAGGCAAGAAAGTGCGACCCCCGTCTCTACAAAAAATATAAAAATTAGCTGGGTGTGGTGGCACAGGCCTATGGTCTGAGCTACATGGGAGGGCTGAGGCAGAAGGATTGCTTAAGTCCACGAGGTCAAGGCTACGGTGAGCCAAGGTTGTGCCACTGCACTCCAGCCTGGGTGATAAGAGAGAGACAAAAAAAAAAAAAAACAAAGAAAAACGTAGAGCACATGTTACAACCCCATTTCAAATGACATATTTATATGAGTTACAACTTGAGAAATTCTTTGCAAATAAACTATTATGTAAGAAAGCTGAATAAATCAGTGGTTGTCTAGAGCCAGGGATAAAGTATGTGTGGGTAGGGGTGACAGGGGTGACTGAATGTAAAGGTATATGAGGGAGAAAAGATTTTGGGGTAATGGAAATGTTCTACCTCTTTATCAATGTGGGGATTACACAAGTGTAACATTTGTCAAAACCCATCAAACTGTACATTTAAAGTATATGCATATTAAAATAATTATACCTCCTCAAATTGATTTTACAAGTAAAAAATAAGTAATTAGAAACCACACATAAATGAGCCATCTTAAGTGTATATGACTAAAGCACCTTTAGTTCTGATTTCTAGTACTTTCAAGTCATGGAGCATACCTTGTTCCCACCTTGATCCACATATCGAGCTGTGTTGTTATATACTCTCAGCATCGGTACAAGGCCATTGGAATTGCCGTTAGTCTAAAAGAGAGAACATGATAGAAGACAGAGGGCACTCAGCAAAGAAAAGAACAAAATGGCCCCATTCTTTTATCAAAAAAGATGACTAATTTCTAGGTAGCAATCTATGAAGTTTACCTGCTCTCCATCTCTGCTTCTGCTTTGGAAAAATAATGCCCAAATAAAATCAACAAAATGCTGAATAAATTACAATTATGTACTAAGTTACCTCATGGCATTTCTAATTTACAATGAGATGTAGCAATTACAAGTCAAAGGGATCGAAAATCAAGGTAGCTAAATTTAAACTCTACATCTTCTAAAGGTCGTTATATAGAGATACACTTTGGGTAGAGTAAAAAAGAATATAAATACTACTACAATGCCTTTTTCCCAAAAGAAATCAAGGCAATTTATAATAAGAATTACATGCAGTAGCTATATCAGGGCAATAAATAAGGTAAAAGGAGATTCTCAGCAATAAGTGGACTCTAGAATGATGTTAAGAAAATAGAGACTCCTATGACTAGAAGACACTTCATCAAATTCTTTAAATAACCCTTCTGATCCCAACACAAGCCTTTAAACAGTCTAGAAAGATAAGTGAGCAATGGCTCACTCTACCATTGTGTAAAGTGCTGTATATATCACAGTACCTCCAAAACACAACATAATGGAATAATTTCCTTCTGGAACTTTATTCTACAGGGTTAGATATTTTCTTCATCTTACAGAAAAGGAAACAAACTCAGACATAAAATAACTAACTCCAGGCCATATTACTAGTTAAGTAGTGGAGCTAGGATTTAAATCCAGGTCTAAGTCAAAACCATTATCTTTACTCCCAATGAATAGTAAACTAACAAAGGGCTGAAGTTTACATCATAAAGTGTCAATGCATAAATCTTGTATCCTGGCTCTACCACATATTAAGTGATTGATCTCAGAAAGTAGCAACTTTCTAAGTCTCAATTTCCTCACTTGTAAAATTAGACAATGGCACCTTTATTCACAAGGTTATTTTAAGGAATAAAATTCCTGGCATGAGTCTATAATCACAGCTACCTCATAGGGTTGTAGTAAGTGTCAAATGAGTACTTCACGTAAAACATTTATAACAGACTTAACATACAGTAAGCAATCAATAAATGATAACTGCTCTTATTACTGCTAAAATAAGCCAGAATTCTAAAACCTGAGCTAAAAAGGATTCTAGAAATTATCTAGTCAAATCTAAACGTCTAATAACATAGATAAAAATGAAGCCAGAAGTGAAATGACTCACTCCAAGTCACATGGGCATTTAGTAACTAACAGAGACTCAGGACTCCCAAAAAAATAGCATATGCCCTCTCAACCATAAATCTGGTTGCTTTTAGACTTGAATCCGCTTTTAAAAGCCAAATGGCAGAAACTTACCCCAGCAATGTAGCTGCCAGTAGCCCGAATACAACTCACAGCAACACCAATTCCTCCAGCAGACTTAGAAATCAATGCACACTGCTTTAGAGTATCATAAATGCCTTCAATGCTGTCATCTTTCATACTCAGAAGAAAACAGCTACGGGGAAAAAAAGTCTCAACTTAGAGCAGGGAAATGAAGCAGAGTCACAAAAATGATTACTCAACACGAAGACACTAAGGCAAAAAAAAAAAAACGGTTGAAGTTTAGAAAGTTCCTAAGTGAAGGGGTGGCCTGCCCCTCCACACTTGTGGGTGTTTCTCGTTAGGTGGAACGAGAGACTCGAGAAAAGAAATAAGACACAGAGACAAAGTATAGAGAAAGAAAAGCGGGGGCCCAGGGGACCAGCGCTCAGCTTACAGAGGACCCACGCCGGCACCGGTCTCTGAGTTCCCTTAGTATTTATAGATAATTATCTTTACCATCTTAAAGATAAGGGAATGGCAGGACAACAGGATCGTTTTTAGGGAGGAAATCAGCAGTAAGACATAAGAACAAGGATCAGCAGTAAGACATAAGAACAAGGATCTCTGCGACATGAATAAGTTTAAAGGAAAATCCTGTGCCTTGAGATAAACCTTTTAGCAGCATTGTTTCATCCTATCACATGGGGATAAACCTTGGACAATAACTAGCTTTTCTAGGAACAAAGACACACCCTGCACGCCCAAAATCCATTAAATCTTGAGTTACCACAGCACATGTCTCTTGCAAGGACAAGGTTGGGGGTAGGGTCACAGATTAACAGCATCTCAAATACAGAAAAAAATGGAGTCTCTTAGGTCTACTTCTTTCTATATAGACACAGTAACAGGCTGATCTCTTTCTTTTCCCCACACCTAAGTATTTTTCCAAGAAGAAAACCCACTTTACTGTACATGACACAATAAAACATATCGAAATACCATTTTAAAATCATCTTGCTGCCTCCTCTAGATAGTAAGTAAATAAGCCTAGGAGGAAGTCTTATAGATAAGTCTATAATATTAGCTTACATTTTCACCAGACTGCAAACGTGCCATTTTCACATTTTCTCATGCATATTCATAAACATGCGTCACAGTCTTTTCAGGTTGTTAGTAAGCCAAAAAAAATAAACATTTATGAAAATAATCTATCCAATGGTCAACCAATTCTTTGATATGTCTACCAAAATTATAGCTCCTTTACAGTCTTCTTAAAGACAACCCCTTTACCTCCACTTTGGATCTCATCCTACTCCCCACCTTAGGAACCTTACCCTATCAATAATCTCTTCACTTTCCTGAATATTCAATCATGCAAATGGATTCTATCTATTGACTAGGTGTTTAATATTCAGACATTCAGAAAAATATAGAGAATGATGTAACAAATACCCTGTACTTGCCATCTACCTCAAAAAATTAGACACCACAAATATAGCCTCACTGCAATCCTCTAACATTTTTAAGAATTTCTATTATGACATTTTTACATGTTCTACACTTAGAATTTTTCTGGTTGCATATCTATTTATCATTCCGCAACTTGTTTTAATTCAACATTGTTTTACAGAAATTAATCCTTTTGATACATGTAAACAAACTTTATTTTCATTGCCATAAGGTATTCTATTGTATAAATATACCAATACATTTGTCCCATGCGCCTGTTGATGAACATCTGGATTATTTCCAATTCATCTGCAATTCCAAACAATGCTGCTATAAAAATTCTTGAACACATCCCCTTGTGTTTATCTCTAAGGATTTCTGTAGAATATAAACCTAGGAGACGAACTGCTGGGTCAAAAGATATATACATGTTTCACTTTACTAAAGATTCTCCAAAGTGGATGGACAAATCTATTTCTAGCAATGTATGAGATTTCCTTGTGCTCCACATTCTTGTCAATACTTGGAATTGTCAGCCTTTTCATTTTTATCAAAAAAAAATATATATATATATATACACACACACACACATAATTTTCATTTTCCTATTGCACAGTGTAACATCTCAGATGTTTATTAGCCAATCAAGTTTCTTCTTCCATGCATTATTTGTTTATAGCCCTTGCCCATGTTTCTATTTGGCTTTCTG